GCAGGGCAAGGCAAATTGGACAAGGCGGTGAGAGGTTGATATTGTGCGCCTAATCTTCGACAGGATTTTGCATTGTATGCCAGGCATGCGATGTCTGCGCAGTACCTAACGACCTGTCTCACAGTCCTAGGGCAGCGCTCAAAACAGTAACTACCGGATACCCGAATCAACACGTCGGAGTTTAAATTGTTGGCCCTTTTTCACAATCTCGTAAGGGCAACAGATACCTCTCTGTGCTCGTGGACTTTTTTACAAAATGGGCGAAAGCGACCCCTCTACCGGATCAGACAGTGACTACGGTTGAAGATGCTATTAGGTTTGCGAGGGTTGCCCGCTTTGGAGTAAAAGATATTCTCCACTCCGACCATGGTTCCAACTTCGAAAGCATCGTAATACAAAACCTACGTAATAAAATCGGTATTCGGAAAACGAGAAATACAGCATGCCACCCCAAGGCAATGGACAGACTGAAAAGACCATTAAGTCTACTCCTTCCCTGTTATGTGTTTTCAAAAACTCTGCCAGCAATTATACATAAAGGATACCCAAATTCCACATTGCACACTCTTACGTTATCTCAGTATTGTTCAGACGTCCACGGGGTTAACCCACGCTATTTGGAGGAAACCGTCCAGCGCCTGTCAGAGACTTTCTGGGAAAAGCCCTCCTTGTTCAATATTCGGTACCAGTGACTCACGCTAGTGAAAAACGAGGCAGATGATTTTCAAACACTCGCCAGTACCGTCAACCGCGAGTGTGAACGGTTCAAGCTCCGAGAGTTGACCGATGACAAATACAAGTGCCTCATCTTTGTAAGCGCCTTGCAGTCACCTCGTGATGCCGAAATCCGGACCGGTCTGCTCTCAAAAATTGAGCTGGACCCAAAGTCTACTCTGAAGACATTGACGGCCGAGTGTCAGCGGCTGAAGAATCTCAAGAACGATTCTGCGACCGTGGAGCATCCCAGTTCCTCATTTGCCACCACCGGTGTTCACGCTGTCACTCGGACAAAGTCAGTCTCGTCACAGAAGTCCCATGATCCCACACCCAGAAAATCACCATCAGTGTGCTGGCAGTGTGGTGATTGGCATTTTGTTCGCTTCTGTCCATTTAAGAAGTATGTTTGTCAGCAATGCCACAAACGAGGGCATAATGAGGACCACTGTCCAGCAGACCAACCACCCCATTCAAGGGCAGGCGACAGGAAGGCAAGAAGCTTCAAACGCCCTTCATCTTACTGTGGCCTAAAGTCCAACTTAATCCTAGCCACATTCCAGACAGAATTTGAGGCAAGGAGGAAGTAACTTACGGTTCCTATCAATAACAAACCTGTATGCCTCCAATTTGACACAGCCTCGGACATCAGCATCATCTCCAAGCGCACATGGCAGAGGATTGGACGGTCTCCGACTGGACTGCCGCCGACTCCCTAAACCTCTCCACGAGGGACCCCAGTGCTAAAAAGGCATGAAATTCAGCCTCTAGGCGACCAAGCCGGAAAAGAATGCGAATGGTTCCGTCACAAGTGAACCTGAAACTCAAATCTTACGATTTGTCTTCAAAAAGGGGAGTGTTAGGGAGGCCCAACGGCTAGCATGGAAGCAGTAGCTTGCAAGCCATTGCCGAGTCCACAATAGGCTATCGATCGGCCTACGCGTGAGCTAACGCATCGTGCTAGACAATTAATCAATAATTTAAATTTCTAGCTACACTCACTCACTGAACCAACAGCCAATAATACCGGCGACTATTTCAGGAATCTGATTGGCTCAAGGGCATCGTTTACACGCGTTTGTTTCCTAAATACGTTGTAATTCTTACACTAAAAGGCTTCTGCCATTGCAAATTTCTTGTCGTGTTCTTCTTTGGGGACTCACACAAGGCGTTACTGGGCAGTAATATCTCGGCCTGGGCTTCCGTTACAACACAGGTGACCTTGTTATCAGCCACACCAGACTTGGTCTTTAACACAAACAATCACGCGCCCCACAGCCAGACAATTACTTACACGTGCACAGATCCAAGCACGTTAACAGAAAAACCGCTGCTTATATGCTCCCAGACGGTCGCGTTGCTCACACAACAGCAAGCAGTCGGTCGACGGCAATTTGCCTTGTGTATCCAATATATTGCTCTCACCAGTTGATTGCCTTCTTTCATTAGGCGGATCAATATAAGCGTATGTGGTTACGGTATATCGCTCATCCTTGACCGCAACAATCGTACACACCCACAGCAAGTCTAACACACACAAGGTCGGTTTTATGATCGTCGAAAATAGGGATAACCATTCCAACCCGGCGATCCTGTGTGGCTCCACAAGGTCAGTCCTCCTCTAGGATTACCCAGTAAATTCCGCAATCTTTGGTTAGGTCCGTTTTCCGTGGCGTAATGCTTACCCAACACTGGTTACCGGA